GGCGGCGGCTCCGCAGCGCGGCCGGGGGGGCCGGGGGGGCCCCGCTGCACCGCGCCGGGCTCGGCGCTGCCGGCACCGCGAGTGGCGTGTCCCCCCCCGTGGGGTCTGTCCCGCCGCATGGGTGACGCCCCCAGACCCCGATTTCGGGGGGTTTGGGGGGTTGCAGCACCGGGGAGCTCGCGGGGGGGGTCAGCGTGTGTCCCCCCCTTAGGGGGTCCCATCCGTGTCCCAGTGGGGTGGCACGGCCGGGGGGTCCTTCCCTGCCATCCCCCTCTGCGGGACCCCCCTTTTCCTGCAGAGGCCTCGTGTAACGCTGCCGACCCCCAGGTCCCTTCTGGGGGTGCCCCCAGCCCCCCCATCCCGGGGAACAGCGGAGGGGAGGGGGCTGCATCCTGCACTGGGTGGGTGCTCGTGGGGGGGGGCTCGGTGCGGGCCCCCACCCTCCCTCGTTTGCTGCGGGGGGAGCTTTGGGGGGTCCCGGGGTGCTGACGGGCGCTCGGTCCCGCAGGGCTCCCGGGCGGCGCGGGCACAGCCCCGGTGCCCCGGCCGGCGCTGACGGACACGCGCCTCTGCGAGCCCCCCCGGCACCCGCGGGCCACCATGGACCCCCAGAGCGACACAGGTGAGAGCCCGCGGGGGGCTGCACCCGCCGCCCACCGCTCCGGGCACTGCCCGTCCCTGTCCCCGCTGTGGCAGCCAGCAGATCTTGGGGTACCGGGGGTCGCAGCAGCGTTCTGCCCAGCGGGGCACACCCGCGCCTGGCACCGGGGGGGCACCAGCGCCGTGCCAGCCGCCCCCTGCCCGCTTATCCCAGTGCCACCGTGCCCCTCGCCGGTGTTCTCAAACCCCGGCATCATCCTCCCGCTGCGAGGGGAAACTGAGGCACGGCTCCCGGCAGCGTCGTGGCACGGCTCACACGTGGCTCTTTATGCCACCGGGGGCGGGTCCCCGCGGCCCCCTGGTTGTCCCCGCGGTGCCACGCGTGGGGACAGCCGTGGTGGCCGGCGGGGCCGTGCCCGCGCTGTCCCGGCTCCCGCTGGCTCCCCGGCAGCGCCGCCCTGTAATTATCCCGGGGGGAACTCCGGCGACATCTGGACGCGCTCCTGTGTCCCCCCCCCCGCCCCCCGAGGGGACACGCGGCAGCGCCACCACCGCGGCCTCCGGAGGGGAAACTGAGGCCCGGGGCGATGGCAGCGCCCCGTGTCCCGCTGCAGGGACTCGGGGACGGGGGCGTGTGTCCCCTCTGTCCCCAGTCCCCCCCTGGGCCACCCGCCGGTATTTTTGGAGCGGCCGCAGGGCTGGAGCGTCGCCCGGCCGTGCCTGGCACGGGGCTGGCACGCGGCGCGGTGGCACGGGGACACGGCGGCGCGGGGACACGGCCGGGCCGCCTCTGCCACCCCTGGGGCGCTTTCCTTGGGGTCCCCTCCCGGCTTTGGGGCTCTCGTGGTGGGGGGGTTTGGGGACCCCTCGGGGGGGTGCTGAGCTGGGAGGTCTCGGCCGGGCCGGGGCCGTCGGGGGTGTGGCAGAGGCCACCCCTGTGCTCGGGGGTCCCCAGTCAGCCCCCCTGGGGGTCCCCACTCACCCCCCGTGACCCCCAGGGCTCCTTTTCCCAGCCCCATCCCAGAACCGGGGGGTTCCGTGAGTGCCGGTCCCATCCCGGGGTGCAGCCCCCTCCTTCCCTCCCGCAGTTCCTGGGGGTCCCCACTACTCCCCCCAACATCCCTGAGGGTCCCCCCGCTGTGCCACCACCTCCGGAGGGGGCTCGGGGGACCCCTGTGCCCTGCCGTGGGAGCCGGGCAAGGAGGCTGGGGGTGCGGGCAGGGGGTCCGGGAGCCGGGCGGGCCCATTCCCATTCCCGCGGCCTCCTGCCCGCCTGCAGCACCAGAAATAGCCGGGCTGACGTCAAGCCCCAAAGCACCCCGGGGG